TCTCTCCCGCCCGAAACATGAAAACATCTTTAAGAGCTTAGTTTGGATTTCAAACCTCAGCTCTGCCATCTGTGCCTTTGGGCAAAGTTGCTTTTCTTCTCTGAGCCTTAGTTTCCTCCTCTGTAAAATGGGCAGAAAACAAGATAACGTAGGTGACATGCAACACCTGGCCCATTGCCAGGCCTGCTGTTAGCCGCTGCCTTTGCATCCTCAGGGCTGGTCTTCTGTAGTTGATGCTCAGTGAGGTGGTAGCTCTACCAACATCAGTGGTTTTTAAATTTTCTCGTGCATCAGAACCACCTGGAGGACTCGCTAAAACACAGCTTGCTGGGCCCCACCCTAAGCGTTTTTAATCCAGCGGGTCCGTATCAGGGCCCAAGAATTTGCATTACTACCTAGTTCTCAGGTGATGCTGATACTGATTGTTATGGATCTGTAGTTTGCGAACAGCTGGGCTGGCTCCCTGGGGACGGGGAAATGCCTGATTAGAGTGAGCAAACTCACACTAGAGGTAACTCGCTTCCCAGTGGATGTGGCCATACACGTTTTATCTATCAACTTATCCATTCAACTGACGGTCATTGAGTATCTACTGCGTCCATTCCTTCTGTGATTCCTAGCCTCCCCAAACAAAGATAAAGTTGGTTCGTTTGTTTTTCCATTCCTATCAGCTCAGTCTTGGAAGAAGCTTAAGGAAGAGTGGTGTGGTTGCAAAAATTTAAGTTGGTATCGTTGCAAAGCATTTAAGTCTTCCTCACCAGCTCACCATGCTCCACAGAGCGGCCGTACCTCTCAGATCTCCACAGTCAACTAAAGGGCAAGTGACTTAAACTCTCAGTTTCCTTCCTAAACGATCAGATAATAATAGCGCCGACTTGGCCAAGCTGCTGTGAGCGTGGAGGGAGATAGAGTGTGCCCAGTCTGGCCCCCTTGTTCTAATTCTGTTTATTAAACTCGGTTGCCGTCTAGAAGTTAATCAACAAACACATTCTTTACGAGCTGTTTTGGCCCAATCTCCCGCTTAGGTAATCAGAGAAAGGGCTGGGCTAGAGACTGTAGGACCCCAGGTCTTGGAACGCCCCCATGTGGCCAGAGTTAAACAAAAACGTCTTTCGTGAGTAAATTATAAGCAGTGAGCGCCTTCGATGGCCATCCTTGTCAGAAATGCAGCTGGGGGCCATTTTGTCAAGGAGTGAGCCTTTGTGGGGGTGAAGGCATCCAAGTGCAGGCCAGTCCCCTCATCATGAAATGTCATAAAGGAAGCAGTTAAGTTCAGTTAGGGGTATACAGCTTTCAATTAGATAATGCATTCAAAAAGCATTCTAGAAACTGCGAAGTGTGATAACGTAAGGTATTATTATTATTATCACCCTTATTTCTGTGTTGTTGTATAGGTTGCTACATCTGCTGTGGCTAAAGGGCCACAGGAGGATGGAGAGGCTCGAATGAGTAACTTTCTGGGGAAAGGGAAGAGAGGTGAATGGGTTAAAGTCCCCAGAAAACCAATTTATGCAAAGGGTTGGATCCTAACCGGCTTCAGGCCAGCACTAAAGGTCTGAATTACAAATGTACAGAGTTTGCTGTTCAGTAAATAATTTATTTTCTTCCTAATGGAGCCTGTACTTTTCATTGGGACAAGGCCATTTTATTTTCACTGATAGAGTGGACAAGATCTAGACTACAGAGAAGTCTAATTCTACTCACCGTGGGAACGGCTTTTTAAAAAGGCTTAAAAAGGGACATTGGGATGGTGGTTAACACGAATCCTTATCGGCTCATGTTTCTGCAAAGTGCATTCTCTGCGTTTGCAACTTGGGTGAGTTAATAATTAAAATCATTTTCCTTTCCTGCTCTTCAAGGAAGTCAGGCTAGCCGATTTCATTAGCCGATTCCATTTTTTTAAAGCTTAATTTGGGACTATTTGACGTTTGAAATAACATTTGTCAGCTCCAGTGTGTAGAAAGCTCCTTTCCAGGCTCTTTGAGAAGCAGCAGCAGCAAGCCTTTAAAGAGCAAGCAGCCGATTCTAGCCTCTTGGAATCTAATTTAAATCTAGACTGTTTGCAAACAAACAAGGACAATCTAGCTACAGTGTGTGTGTGCGTGCGTGCGTGCGTGCGTGTGTGTGTGTGTGTGTGTGTGTGTTTAAATCTCTGATAATTTGTTTAAAGAGCAGAGGATACAACAAAAATATAGGAACTTCACTTTCTTCTTCCCTTTTGGCGTTTTTTGGGGGATGTGTCCCCTGACCCCAAATGATGGAATTCACGAGGGACCTAAGCAAGGGCTGCTGAGAACAACTGCGCTTTTTGAATGAACTCTCGTATGCATATCAGTCAAAAGTCACCTTTGCTGGCCGGAACTGGAAAGTGGAGCTTTTTGTGTGTTTTGTTTTCTCAGTGGTATAGCCATTTCAGCTCAATAGCTCAATTCTTGGGAAAGGCCACTTCTTCTTGACATTGGAGTAGACACACTTCCCTGTGCACCTGAAAACAAATAAGTAAATACGTAAATGAGTACACACATTTTTAAAAGGCGTCTTCGCCCCTCCCCCCAGGTCTTAATTTTTCTTTCAATTTCGAGGTGTTTTTTTGAATGCGTTGCTGTGCGCAGCTTCGCTGTTTGACTGGCATATTTGGGCGCTGTTTTGAGGAACTGTGATTCCTTTTCCAAGAGCTTTCTGGAGCTGACTTGGGGGAGATCCTGCTCTTTTTCGCTCTAGCTCAGCATAAGGCATGGAAATTAGTATTTATTGTAAATGCTCAGGAATAGGGTCGCAACTCAAAAAAAAAAAAAAAAAAGAAACCCCATAAATCAAAAACCACACAAATCTCAAAAATAGAGTTTTAACTTGCTTCTTAGGCTACGACTGGATTTAGAATCCCCCAAATAAGTCATTTTTGGAGTCTGCTCTGGCTTACATTTTCTTGTCTTTAAAAAACAAACAAGCAATTTCATTAAAAAATTGCTCTCTTTTTTTTGGGCCAAGGGGTTGGGAAGCCAGTTACAGAAACCGTTGGCATGCTTTGCAGGGAAATTCTCAGCAAAGAACCTCTTTAAAAACAAAACAAAAAAAAATTAAACTATTTTTTTCTGTGGAGGTGGGGGCTGGGGGAGGGGCGCCTTCTGCCTTAGTCAGCCAGTCCTGCCTGGTCACGTTTCTCAGCGGGGCAAAAACCCCCTGTGCCCAGTGAGGTGAAACTTGCAAATGATACTGTCACCTTTCGCCATGGACTGGTGTGGCCCAGGGCTCAGCAAAGGTCGCACCTGGTAAATCCCCTGGTGTTTGGAGACAAAAGAATGACCAGCTGCTTTGTTTTCTTGAACTGACTTTTGTGCTCTCTGACTGCAATGGCAGAGGGAAAGTCACCCCCACCGTGGGCTTCCCCAAAGGGCTTTTTCCTGATTTGTGCCAAGTTAAACATTCGGACACGAAGTGGCATGAGGTCATTCTTAACTGGGTGAGTCACAGACACTGAGTAATCTCCAGGTTTGGGCTGGTCTGAAGAAGCTCACTCGGCTGCAAGGAAAAGACCTCTGGGCTTTATTTGAAACCGAGCATTCAGCCCGTCAAGGCTGGTAGCTGGAGGACCCCAGCAGCAAAGGACCCCCGTAACCTGACTTTTTAGAGGTATCATCCCCCCCGCCCGCCGCCCCGGCCCAAATGCATTTTCTAAAGGCCTTGTTGCTGAAGCTATGGTTTTGTCTAAAGTGCAGATCTAGGAGAGTATATTTAATTTTATTTCTGATCAGTGTGTGGTGGATCACACATGTGATGGATTTGTATGCGCCGGTGTATATGTGTGGATCTGTGTTAGCTACATGCATCTGCTTGTATGGGTGTCAGTATGAATGTGCACATGCATTTATCTGTTCCTGTGTGCAATGTATGTTTGTATGAACATGTCCGTGCATTTATGTTTGCATGCATGAATGTGTGCCTGTGTGGCATACGTACATACTGAATCTGGATGCGTGTACCTGTAGCGGACACCACCCATACACTCATCGTCTAGCTGCTAAGGGATCCCAGCTTCTCAGTGCAATGGGAGCTGTTTGCCCTTCCTGCCGCCTCCCAGGGCGCCCCTGACACACCAACAAGGGTACAAAGGCAGGCTCCCTCGCCTCCAGGCAGCACGGTGTGGTGCAATTCACGCTGCAGAGCCCCCTGCGGATCAAGAATGTCGACTGCAGCTGAGTCCAGTTCTTTCTCAGCTCCTGCCCTGACCTGCCCGACTCCACATGTCAGCCTTTTCCCCTGGGGGCCCTCCTTCAGTATATCCCATGCATCAGAATCCCTGTCTCAGGCTCTGCTCTAGGCAGCCTGGCCCAAGACGGCACTTTTACACGTTTGCATGTTCAAATGTGTGTGTGTGTGTGTGCGTGTGCGCGCGCGCGTGCACGCGCACGCGCCCATATAGAAGGATATCTAGGAGGATCTGAGAGAGAAGACAAGTAGAGGAAACACACTGAGTTTATCCTGGGGAAGAGAAAGGCGTCTCAGACACAGAGTATGAGAAAACTGCTTTTAAAGCCATATAGAAGGAAATCTAGGAGGATCTGAGAGAGAAGACAAGGTAGAGAAAACACACTGAGTTTATCCTGGGGAGGAGAAAGGCATCTCAGACACAGAGTATGAGAAAACTGCTTTTAAAGTGGAAAATTAAAAGATGCTTTAGGTGTAAATGTATTTTTTTTTTATTAAATCAGAAAAAGAAAGACACAGTGTACATGATATCAGCCGATCATATGTTACTTTTGAATTACAGCTTAATAGATTCATCGTGGTGCTATTTACTGCTCTGTACACGTATTAAGGAAAACTCAGATATTTGCAAAATCTGTAAATTTTTATTAACTGGGGTTATGGGGAGGGCTTTATCAGAACGCATCCTGAGAACATTAGGAAATTACAGACAGACTTGAGATAAGTGTCAGACAGAACAGATGAAGCGAGCCCCTCCGCCATCTGAGAAACGTTAATAATGTAAGATTGCAGGGACCAGGTCTTTGTTAGGGGTGCAGGATGCAAGATGAAAATGGAGCCCTGGGCGCCCCCTGGTGTTGCAAAGTAAACTTGCAACTTCATTTATTTGTTCTGTTTTGTTTTTTAAGTTGTAATCCTCGCCCTGGTCACGGGGCCTCCAGAAGCAATTGTTTTCCCAAACCGTTTCAAGCCCCCTCCAGTCAATCTTATCCTTCTCGTCAATAACGTTCAAGGACCCTATTTGAAAAACAACTCTTATTCATTTTGTTTCCATGCCAGGAAATTGGCACCCTGCCAACACAGGGCCCCTGCTCTCCCTCCCAGAACTGTGAAGTTAAACAAACGGATTTTCGTCTTTCCTCTTAGAGCTGGGAGGATGAGCCTGTATTTACTACAAAGCCTAATTCCTTCCGGCAGGCATTTCTCTCCTGCAACTTACTTGTTTCTGCCATTTTTCATAACTTAACCAGAATGCATTTTTCCCCCCGACCCCCACCAACCCACAACCATCAGCAATTCCGACCTGACCAGTTAACCTGCTAAAAACCATCCTCACAGTTATTTACCAGGAAAGACTGGACCAGAGACGTAAATAATACACCTCAATATACAACAGCTCAGGCTTAATTTGTAGGCAGAATTTCATTTGATGGTCATCGGAAGAAAAAAAATATATATACATGGAGTGGTTTAGGGGAGGAAATAGAGTAGGGAGAAGGCATCTTGGCAGGAGAACTCGGTGGGAACTGTGGCGATTTGTTTACTTGGATTTGCCAACGGGTCCGATGGACACGGGGTCTGTTTGCACTTGAGCATCCAACATCCGCTTTGGTCCCTGGAGAAAAATACAAAGATGTTGTAGCCTAATGAAGATCTGTAATATCAATAGCGACAACTACCATGCATTTAGTACTCGCTCTGTGCCGGATGCTGTGCTAAATAAATACACCTTACTTATGGGGTTCGGATGAGAGAGCAGCCTCTGATCTCCCAAGTTCAGTGCTCGGTTACATTACTTTCCAGATCTCTGAAATCTCTGACAAGTAGCTTAATTCTGTGCTTCAGTTTCTTCATCTTTAAAATGGGGGTGATCACCTTGTCTCGGGGAGTCGTTCAAAGATAAAGGGAATTCGTACTTGTAACGCGCGTAGTACCTGGGGAGTCGGGAGCCCTCGACAGTTACAGGTCACTTCTGTTACCCTCTCTAATCACTTTCTAACCACACTGCCCTGTTTAATTTTCTTTCAAAACGTATCACTGTCTGAGATGATGCTATTCGTCTAGTGTCTGTCTCCACCGGAATGGAAGCTCTGTGGTTGTCTGCTGTATCCTCGGTGCCTACGAGTGCCTGGCACATAGTAGGGAGTCCTTTGTATTGACTGACTGCAGTCGAATAAACTCTGTGAGTCGAGTACTATTATAACTGTTGTTATTATTTTACATTTTTTTGTCGAGTATGATTTACATACAATAAGTTAACCTTTTCTGTGTACAGTTCTACGATCTTTGACCAACGCAAACAGTCCTGTAAACCACCACCAAAATCAGAATACAGGGCACTTCAATCACCCCCAAAGCCCCCTTGTGCCCCTGTGTACTCAATCCTTCCCCGCCACCCCAGACCCTGACAGCCACCGATCTGTTCTCCATCCCTAGACTTCTGTCTTTTCCGGGATGTCTTATCAATGGAATCACAGGGTTTAGAGCTTTTGAGTCTAGCTGCTTTCATGTAGCATAATGGATTCATCCATCTTGCTGCATGTATCAGGGGTACTGTTATTGTTGGCCCTATTTCACAGCATAGTAAATATAGTATAATACAATGTGAGATAGTATATATAGTACAGTAAAGTACATATATAGTGTAGATAGTACATGTAGTACTTTACTGTATGTTCTTTACAGTAAAGTACTATATAGTAAAATACTATAGTTTATACAGATAGTATAGTATAGTAAAATGTAGTATAGAATAGTATAATATAGGACAGTATATATTGTATAGTATATCACAGATATACATATATAGCGAAGTCTAGGATAGTAAATATAGCATAGTTTACAGTATATAGTAAATATAGTCTAGTATAATATGAGATAGTATATACAGTACACTAAAGTATAAAATATAGTGTAGTATACTTTATTGTACATATCATAAAGTATATATACTAAAGTATTATACGTATAGTATAGAGTGGTATATAGTATATATAGATAATAGAGTATAGTATATAGTATAAAATAGTAGAATATAGGATAGTGTATATTATACAGTATATTATATATACACATATATAATGAAGTCTAGTATGGTAAATATAGCATAGTATATAGTATATAGTAAATATAGTATAGGGCACGACAATATCTATTATATAGCATACATTATATATATAGTGAATATAGTGTAGTATGTAGTATACGCAGTAGTGTACGGTATGAGTAGGGTGGTAGACTATAATATGGCGAAGGATATATAGTATAGTATATACACATAGTGTCACGCGATGTAGCAGCGCACATATAGTATAGGATAGCACAGGCTAATACATAGTACAGCACATACATACATCAAGCACATACTGTATGTAACATGTCGTGTTGGTCTTTGGGAATACAAACTCGGCTGGGACAACATGGTATATCGAAAGCCTGGGGTCAGGGGTCAGCCATGGCTGGGTTTGAGCACTGCTCCGTTCCGCTTGGATCTTGTGACCTCTCATCAGTCCCTTGCCCTGTGGGCTTACAGCTGTGTTCACACGTGGTCCTCACCGCACACTGTGCAGCTGACTCCATTATCACTCACACAGCAGAGGAGGCAGCTCGGTACAGGTAAGTCACTAAGGTCCACTCCCCACTAGTAAGCGGTGGATCTGGCTTCCATCTCCCATTTGCCTGAGCTGCTCTCTCAAGCGCTAGGTGATTCCCAACCGCCCGTTTACATTGCATCATAAATACCTGATGCGGTGATCAGATCACAAACTCCTCCAAACAGGACAGTGCCTTACTCATTCATCTCTGTGCCTTACGACCTAGGGAAGGGCTGACTAAAGTACTCACAATAGTTATTCCTTCCGGATGAATTAAAACGAGCCAGGCTTTGTTCCCAGGAAACTCTCCGTGATCCCAGTGACCCCATTTCATCTTCGTGCTAACCCTGTGACATCAGTACTAGTAGCCCCATTGCCAGAATACTTGAAACGCAGAGAGGTGACTCGTCCAAGATCACACAACCATTAAGTGGTAAAGCTGGGTTCAAATCCAGGAACAAGCTTCTAAGTTTCTAGGGCTTGGACTCAGGCTGCTGTTTTACTGTGAAAGGCCCCACAGATGATATGTAAATGAACATACGTGATTGTGTTCCAAACTGTATTTACAAAAACTGTATTTACAGTCTGCAAAGCCCTGGTCCAGCCTCGACACTATTGACACTTAGGGCTGGATCCCTCTTCTTCATGGAGGACTGTCCTGTGCACTGCAGGACATTTAGCAACATCCCTGGTCTCTACCCACAATGTCTCAAAGTCGCGGCAATCAAAGTTGTTCTGGACATCGCCAATATGTCCCCTGTGTATGAAAGCTCCCCTGGTTTGGAACCACTGGTCAGACCCAGCCTACCGGATCCCCGGATGTCGTGGGCAAGGAATCCGCAGAAAACACCCTCTGGCAAAAGAAACCAAGAGCCACCAAGAATGAGAGGCACCGGGGCCACGAGCTCGGGACCTTTCTAGAACACAACCCCCTCTGTACCATGCACCACCCGGCACATACTGCGTGCCCAGTAACGTTTCGACCGGAACTTTGGGCAGAAAAATGTGTACTTGGTTTAAAAATGACCGAGGAAAGTGTGCAGTCCTTTCCAAGGAGCGAGAGCTGAGAATAGAGAAAAATACCTCAACGAAACCTCCCAAATAGTGATCCGTCTTTACACATCCTCCTGCTGATGTTCACTCTCTTTTCTTTTTCGCCTCTTTGAAACTGGAGAAGGGCCTTTCACCAGAGGGAACCAAGGGGGAATCTGCGTTAGGGCTTCACATTTGCAAACGGCCTCAAATCGTGACCTTTAACACTATCTTAAATTGAGGTTCTACGCTCATACTCAAAGACACAGACTAGATAGTAGTACGACGACATTTATCACAAGACTTTAAACTTAGGGGTCTAAGGTGCCACTCCAAAGACCAAACACCGCCCTCACCTACCTCTGTCTAGCAGGCCGCCAAAACCTACAGATGGCCACGGAACGGAACATGACAGATGACCAAGGAGGCCCGGGGCGGTGCGTCCCGCACAGCACCCCATCTCCAGTGCAATGTGAAGGTTAAGTCTAGTTTCCTGGCCCCGCGACGGGCATCGGTGTTATCTCCTGGGCTGGCTCTCCTGGCTCCAGCCACATTCCCTGGGTCCAGGGCCGATTTCACTTGTCTCTCCTCCTGGTTTGTGCTCGATCACCTTGCTGATTTATCATCTGAGTAACGACCCGGCAGATACTACTCGCTTGCCCGGATTTACATGATCTCAAATATAATAAACATTGTCTAGTGTCCTATTTTACACCATATATCTATTCATTCATTCAGCAAACAATTAGGGAATGTCTACTATGTCCTAGTCACCACACTAGGGAGGACAGTACATCTGCCTGTGACAGGTAGGGTCGCTGGCCTCCCAAAGCCAACAGTCTGGGGGAAGAGACAAGAACCAAACAGACAAATAAATGTAAAAGATTGATTAATTATTTATTGTCTGGCCTCTACAGACTCCTGGGCTTCTCTGGAAGGGATGAGTTAAAGTTTAGTTACCCCTTTATTCCCAGACCCCAGGGTCGAGCTTAGAGCGATTTCCCTGATTTAAATTCTTCAAGGCTCCCTTTGGCCACCACCAAATATCAGTGCTCCCTGTCATCACCTGTCCCTGGCACCATCTCCCTGTCCTTGCATTCTCTCCCCCAGCCAGACTGGACTTCAGTCCCGTGCTGCCTCTCTGGCAAACCTTCGCACCTGCTGTCTCACTGCCTGGAACACATTCTGCCATCGGCCCCCGCCTGGTCACCCCCTTCCACCAGCAGTTAATCTGAAATCCCACGTCTCCTCTGAAAAGCCTTCCCGGAGGCTCCCCTCAAACCCAAGGCCAGGCCACCTCCTGGCCCTCAGGCCCCCCTCACATGCCTCCTGGCCCTTCCCAGACTCAGCAGCCCCACGTGTCAGTCTTGAACCTGACTGCCAGCCCCAGACAGCAAGGCCATCGTCCACCTAGCACAGCGCCCGGCATCCAGCAGGTGATCAATAAATACCGTCTGACAAACGTCCGGCCATCCCCTAGCCAATCGGTCCCCTTCGGAGGCGGGAACCATACCCCTGGCCCGAGACCCCAGGAAGGAGAGGTGAAGGGTCCACTTACCAGGCCCTTGAAGAAGCCTCCGAGGGACTGCCGCCGCCTCTCGGGTCTCTTCTGGGACTTGTCCCCGTTGGGCAGCGAGTTGGCCTCCGCCGCGGCCGGCTCTGCACACGGGGCCGGTTCTTTGGTGTCCTGCTTGTTGGTCTTCTGCTTGTTCAGCTCGGCCGAGGCCTTCTTGTCCTTTGAGGGGCCCTCTGTGCACTTCTGGCCTGCTCCCGCCGGCTCTGGCTCTGGCGGCGTGGTGGCCTTTTCCGTGGAGTCTGATATCTGCAGCGAGGTCACACAAAATGCATGTTAGTGGCTGCAAGACACCTCTCAATAGCAGGAGAATAAATATGTTAAAACGGAGATGTGCAAATGTTGGATGGTGTCTACGTTTTCGGGAGTCCTAGGTAAAATGAAAAAAAAAAAAGGAAAAATGCACCAATACCTAATTATGGTGCAAGGTCACAGGAAGGGACATTTGCTTATTTATCTAATTCGTTAATTAATGTTATGCTTTCCCAGTAAGCATTCTTTCCTCCTCTGGTATGAGAACCTGGGTTTTCCTTGGGAAACCTCTTTTTTCTCTTGTGTATTCCTTGGGATTTAGGCAAACTAAGTCCATACCTGGACCAGGGCGTGTGACTCAGGCTTGGCCAATCAGAGCATTGCATGTGACTGGGCTGCTATGATTGGTTCACGATGACCAAACAGATCAAAACTGAGCTAAGCTCAGGGCTTTGCTAAAACAACCAAGAGAGAGAGTCCTGCTCTCTTTTTGTTAGGTTTGAAGATAAAAGCTTGGAGTTTCCAGAGCCACCGTCGTTTTCAGAAACAAACAAACAAAAGTGCTTGAAAAAGAAGCCAACACAGAAGAAAGCAGAGCTGAGAGAGGAGCCCACATACCGATGGCTCTGTGTGTGCCCCTGGATCCATCTGTTCCTGAAGTCCTCTCATGGGCATGTACCTTCGAGAGAGCTTCTCCGCTTACGACTGCATGTGACACGTTCCTTGGGGATGCCTATTTTCTTTATGTCTGTCTTGATTTCTGGCGTGAAACTGCCCTGTTGCTTCATGAAACGGTGATTTAAAAAAATGGCTGTTTTTTATTTTTACCTTTGAACTTCTACCCTTTCGTGCTAAAGTGAAATGTTCGCAATTATATTTGGGTCTTGCAATTTGGGGGGATGAGCCTATAAAATCCAAAATTCTAGCAAATGCTGGGTAAATTACAGATAACCTCAAAAAAAAAAAATCTATTAGAAAGCAAAAAGCTTTTCCCCATAATTTACTTGAACAGAAATGCCTCTGGGGGCCAGATAGATAGAATGAAAACATGTCAGAGGCTAGAAGTAAGAAAAATCACATGGACACTTCGTTCCTCCAGTTGTGAAACCAACATAGGGACGGGGGACTATTCTCTAGTGTCAGAAAAACACCAGTTCAAGCGATGCTGTTTTTGATGTCGGGGAGACAAGCTGGAGTGTGGGGTTGGGGACACTGTGGCGAACTGAATGTTACATGCCCTGTCTAACAGCTGCTTAGACCCAGGCGAGTGATAATGGATAGGATTACAGCCCCAGCGTTGTTAGATCTTCTGGTTTTCCAATGGAAATTTAAAATTGAATTTTTTAAATGCAACATATGTCCATTTTTAGATCTTGACTTCAAACGTTTTAAAGCCCTATTCACGGCAAATAACTACAACACAAGTACCCCTGAGGGCCACATTCGACCTCCTGGATATGTGTTTACGATTTCCGATTCCTAAAGTTTTGTCCTGTCCCCAGGTCCAGAAATTCTATGACAAAGTGGCAGTTTGATTGAGAAAGCAGCAACCAGAGAGCTGTCATTTTGCACTGGTGGATCGAGCCTACCCCCTAGAAATACGTGAGAAGAATCACAGGTGCAAGGTTTCCCCAGGTCACAGCACCTGGGGGGCTGAGTTCCTCGGAGAAAGAAGCATTCGACATCCGGTGCGCCCCACGAAGCTGTTCTGTCACCACACGCCCTGAATATTTCTGTCACATCCCAGCTGCCAAAGTTGTAGCGAATGCTGAGATACAGATGTCCGACTATAAGAGACAGCCCCAAGCAGATATTTGCCTTAGAATGAGCCAGAAACTCCCACTATGGTGCTCTTTAGAAGGCCGGAAACCAGTGACTCCATTTACACACCCCATGAACTGTCTTTGTCATGCAGATTTTAAGATAGAGTGAGTGGCTTAACATCTGGAGTCAAAGGGACCTGGTGTGGGTCTAGTTCCATCACATCTTTGCTGTGGGGTCTGGAATAAATTGTTTACTCTCTCAGCATCCTCACCTGTATGGGGGTAATAAAAAAAATCATACCCCATGGCGTTGGGAGGATTACATGAGATAGTAATTGAAAAGCCTGTGTGACACAGTCTGACCCATGTGAAATGCCAAACATAAGGGGACCGAGCATCTTGGTTTGTCTGGAAATGAGGGGGTTCTAGGACATGGAACTTACAGTTTTAAAACCAGAAAAGTCCTGGGCATCCTGGTTTAACATATCCAGAGGTGACTCTTTCTGAGAGATTGTGAGAGGTTGGATTCTAGCGCTGGGTGTGGATGAAGTGCTCTGGAAATACTTGCTGAATCGAGTCTCCCCCGCCCAGTGACATTTTGGTCAAGACTTGTAGGATAAAAAAGGAATTTTCCATGTGAAGAAGAGGGAATGTAAAAGCCTCGCAATAGGAACTAGCAGAGGAATTCTGGCTTATTCGTGCTTGTATCTGTAGAGCCCAAGTTCATGTCCGATGAACAGTAGGTGCTTTGCCTACAGATGTTCAACGAGTTGGCTGTGGTTTAGAACTGCATTGGAAATGAGGCTGGAAAGAAGCGAGAACACGCCAGCTACACCCGCCACCGAACCGAGTTCACAGGTCACTTACTTGGCAGCTGGAGTCTTTCCCATTTATTTCTTCTGAGTGGGTGATCCCTCCATCCCCTTTCACTGACTAAAATAACAAACAGACAATGGCCTTTCAGCTACCATAAGAACAACAAAATGAAGAACGCGAAAGAAGTTCCGTAATGGATGGCCACGTAGTCATTCATTATTGAGATTCAGGATCAAGACCAATGGAGGACCAACCGAAATCATACTGCTCACGAGGTCTCCCATTTCCATGTGGTCTGTACCCAGAGTCTAATTCCACCCAAGTGTTGACCTCCAAAACTAACAACAACTACAACAAAAGTCCAAAACCCTGAGGTTAGATGATTCTGGGATAAATAATTGATGATGAAAATAGTAATGTTGGAACCAGAAAGTCGTCGAACACGTTGAATGAATGAATCAATGAATGAACAGGGGATCGAAAGGTACAAACTTCCAGTTGTAAGATAAGTAAGTACCAGGGATGTAATATACAGCATGGTGACTGCAGTGACTGTGGTCACATGACATATGTGAAAGTTGCTACGAGAGTCATTCCAAGCGTTCTCATTGCAAGGAGAATTTTTTTCCCTTTCATTTCTTTTCACTGTGTCTGTATGAGAAGGTGCACGTTAACTAAACGTAGTGTGGTTATCATTTCACGATAAATGTAAGTCAAACCTTTATGCCGTACACCTGAAATTCATACAATGAAATATATCAATTACATGTCTTTAAATAAAGCTGGAAAAAAGTAAAATAGATGAACGAACAATTAAACCATTAGGTCGCCTTCCATTGGTGACATTTAGTGGCGATTGTTTTATTGTATTTTTTCCCCCAGTAGAGGAATGAGTTATGTTCAACACTTTATTTTCCATCCTTTAATATTCCCTGTGGCCTGTGGCATCAGTAACAGGGCTGGATGGGATTGAATTCACAACTTTGGCTCCTTAAACCCACATTCAAAATGGTTCTACGTTGGGGGCGGAGGGTGGGGGGTAGTGGAGCAGCAGCTTGAACATCACCTGGGAACTTGTTAGCAGATTCTCGAGGATTCCTGATCTGCTGAATCAGAAACCCTGTGGGGTACAGCTCAAGTTCGCAATGCTGAGGCACACGTGGGTTGACGTGTCACTGCTTTAAGCTGACTGGCCACAGGCGAATGCGGACCCACAGTACATTCGTTTCTTCCCCCTCCCTTTCTTTGCTCGCCCTTGGAGGAGAATTTGGATCAAATCAGAAGGCTCTCTCATCGTCGAATGGTCCTAGGTTAGCATCCTGAAAACAGACTCTATGGCTATAGAGAGATCATTGCAAAAAGTTCAACCTCTTTTTTTTTTTTAAAAAAGGGGGAATATCTCAAGCTTGTCTATGACTTTTCTCTGTTATTCATTTTGAGGCATATAAAGCTGTATTTATGCAAAGGTGACTGCATGCTGAGTTTAGACTGAGGGTTTTATTAAGTCCCTCTGAGGTCTCTTCAGTGATGGTTATTAATAATGGTGGTTATTAATAATCCCTCCCTACCTCCCCTCTCCCTCCCTGCCTCCTGTGTGTTCTCTCCATCCCTCTCCTTTCCTTTGGCAGAGCCCTCTTTCAGAGACAAATTAGGGGAGTTCGAGTTGGGCTCTGTCTGTATTCAAAGGACCATAACCACAAAGGCTTATTTTTTCCAGCTGTGAAAAATAGCAGGATTACTGTTAAGGAGACTAAAATTCTTTGAGAAGCTATTTAATATTTTAAAGAACAATCTGAAGACTATTAAGTCATTTCAGAGATTTTCCCAGTGTGATACCGAGTATCTTTCTCCATGGAGTTTATTTTTATTTACGAGAGTGAAAGGGGAAGCATGTCAGGACCTCAGTGTGGAGAGAGGATCAGGTTGTGACAGCCACACCTTGCACATTAATAAAGTCATTGTCTATTTCTTTTGTTGTGTCTGCATTCCTATAACTTATACTCTGAGGAATGTTTAAACCATCTCCAATATATATCTCTTAGATACTCCAAGCTCTAGTGGAAACGTTTGCTGGTCAGTTCACATGTCTTTCTTTAAAAGAAATGCAAGGTATTTTGACGGAGATCTAAATCCAACCAAAGTTGAGATTTAAAAGAAGAATTGGGATGCCATTTTAGTTTAGTGTGAGTATATCAGCAAGATTGTTTACTAGAGCAGCCTCATTACAACAATTCAAGGAACAGGATCTGCTAGAAATTTCCAGGACAAACAAAGGCTTTGAGTCCAAGCTTTGTGTTTTACCGGGATGCTCCTTTGAAATGGACTTGAACTCAAGTCAGACAAAATGACACAACGGAAGTAAATCTTACTTTAGTGACAAGTACATTCAGAAAACTATGTCCCAGCTTTATGTAACTCAGGTACTAATTCTCTTCTCTTTTGCCTTGTAATTTCAGGTAAGCCCAACAAATGAAAATGATGTTTCCACAGAATCCCCTTTAAGGGTAGGAAAAAAAATGCAAGTCACTGGTGAAGACAGCAATCACCCCAACAAATGCTACCTTTCCTTAAAGAGTAGTTCAGTATTCCTATTTAAATACTCAGGGAAGAGTTTGAGATCAAGAACTTTGGCTAGAAAACTCCTGTTTCCATATATTTATTTATTTGTTTATTTATTTTTTAAATTACCGTTACAAACCACCATCTATACTCCCCTTCAGAGAGTAAATTTTAATATGTTTCCTTAGACTTATTAGATTGAATGTAATCAATAAAAAAACTCTGGTTTCTTGGCTGCCTCCTCATTTGGGCCTTTGATTTGCCCAGCATTGAAGCTCATAGTCTTTCTCATCTAAGCCTGAGAATGTTATTCTAACAGTGTCTTATGAAACTGCTGGTCTAAAGAGACTGGAGGATGGTTAAATGAAACAATGTAGGTGACAATAGTTTGGAGGAGGAAAGTACTTTTCAAGTACAAGGTGTTATTAATATTGACAAATTATAAACCTATATTTCTATCTCCCACCTTAATGGTTTCATCTGCCTACCTGGCTTGTGGGTACTTGAATATAGCTCTCTACCCACTCACTTTATAAAAATACACTAGCATTTCAACTATCCAATTTCTTGACATCCAGTTGAATTAATGCATAGAAGAATTTAAAAAAATTTTTTTTTTTTTTATTTAGGGCATGACAGATGTCTTAGCTGTTTCTTGTAATTATTTAAAAAATCTGTAGGAGCCCATAGAGTTTCTGTGAAGTAACATATCTACATGTATAGAATGCAATGTAAGGATTTATATGATTCTATTTTATTTCCTCTGAAATTATTTGAAAAACAATATTCTTTCTATTTTTATTTTTATGAGGTTAATTTCTGGAAAGAAAAAGTTCTCTTAGAAGTAAACCGGGCAATATGTTTATTAAAATTAAAAAAGGAAAAGAAAAAAAAAAAACAAACACTTAACCAGGAGTCACTTTGCTATGGGACAGAAAATATATAGTCTGAGGGAAACTTAAGAGAGGCAAACACGAGAAGGTAGAAAATCCATAATCTGAGGGATAGAGGCACAGATTACCAAACAAAAATGACACATTTGAAATTGAGTTTTCTATTACATCAATTATTTTTTTAAAAACTATATTTTGCTAAGGATATCTAAATTCAGTTGTAACATTCTTTATTTGGCTCAAAAAAAAAAAAAATCCTATAGTGATGGGCCAGATGCGATCTCTATTTTCAAGCCCTTAGAACAGAGTTTTGGTTTTTTTTGCTTTTTTTCTTCCTGCATAAATAAGAAGACTTTAAATTCGTTGGGAAGCCATGAAATGTTACCTAAAATTGTTTCCTGAAAATAATTACTGAAGCTAACTTCCAGGAGTCTGCACTATGGGGTATTAACACATATGCATAAACGTGGGGTACAAGAATGTTCACACAGGTTAGCAGAGCAGCTGAGATCACGTGTGTAAGACACGTGGCTTGCGCCCACTGAATACGGCACAGAGTTGAAAATTAATGTCTGTTTTCCTCATTGGGCTTTACTCTCCATGAAGACAGGAACTATGTCTATTTCTGCTCACTGTTTTATCCCTCGTGCCTGGAACACAGTGGGTGCTCACTAATTATTTGTTGACGATGTGAATGAATCACAGACAACAGGTTGGAAACAAGCCAAATGTCCACCAATAGAGCAATGATTAATCAGAGTGTGATAAATCCAGACCATGTGATTCCACAAAGTTGTTACAAAGAACGAGGCGGCTCTATACCAGGGGCCGCAAACTCAGATATCCACAGGGACAGGGCCAGCAACATAAATGAGTGAGCTGGGCTGGGTATGACAATAGGGAGTGGTGGGGATTGCGGTGAACTGGAAACCCATGCCTTTGTGTATTTGAATTAATCGCAGCGGTACTATTATGTTCTAATGGAAACAAAACAGGATGCAAGACAATAATTATTAAGATATCTGGAATTTTAGGAGAAATCTCAACAAGCATGGAAGCTTTAGAATTTAAATATAGAAAAGAATAATGGTCAAGCTGCCGGGCATCGCCCTTTCAATAGGTAAAAAGAACAATGCCCATGATGAGGCCTGATGCTATGTATCCACGAGGATTGCTTAGGAAATGAGCCCTCTCTCATCTCTGTCCCTAACCTATGGAAAACCGATTCCCAAAGGATTCTTTTCTTTCCAAGTTTGTTCCCCTAACAGTTTGCACTTGCCCAGTTTTTATTCTTAGAAAACATCCCCAAGCAACATCTAATGGATAGCTATGAGGATGAGTTTATAATATGGAACCTCATTAGAATTTAAAGCTTTGTTTTGAATGAGTGCAGTGGATGGTTTAGATGTCTTTCATTCTTTATTTGGAGTCTCTCACATTTCCTCTCTTTTAAACAAAGAAGTCTGATGTTGGTTATTTGAAAGGGAAAGTCATTCTGTTTGCTTTTTTTGTTTTTTTAAATCTCTCAACTCCGTTCAGAAACAGGGGAGCTGGATCACCCTCAATGTTACGATGAACTATTTGGGGGTCCCATTCGTAGTGCAGATGGTTTGCCAGAAACAGGCCAAATGTTCTTTTCTTTCCTGACATTGTGTCAAAAATTAGTTTAAAAATCTCAAGTCTTGATCTCCATTTTTAACACTATACTGCAGAGTAAATGCCGAGGACAGTAGAGGGAGGTTCCAGCCACATCAGCTGCCCACTACTTACTCTATGCATCTCAGTCCATGAGAACCCAGCCACAAAAAGAAAATGATGCCTGTCAACAATTTCTAACAGAGTTGTTTGTAACATGCCTCAACTCCCACTGGTAAGGGTTTGGTTTTGTTTTACGAACTAGAAAGAATTCCTTAACAGGTTGGGCCTGTGAAAATAGGGTTTCTTTCTTAAAGGATTAAATTCCCAAATACTTCTGAAAATGAAGGTGCACTATAATGAAATTCTTGTCGTTCATTAAAAGAGAATTAAACCAATGACCTTTCACATGAGTTTTTGTTTTTTGCCTTCCAACTGATTTGGGTTTTATTTGGTTATATTACTTAAGTTCCTGGATGTTTAGATATTTAATGCACATGACTCTTCATTACCCATATTTTTTTCCATTCTATACAAACTAAAGGCATGGCAAATGCACCAACTAAGTTATACATATTCATTATTAGAATATTATGTTTTCGTTTCCTTACATGAATTATTTACAAATCAGCTTCGTTCAAGTTTGTGACACTCACGTCACCTTCAGAATTTTTCCAACATCAATATATAACTGACTATTACTTAATCCTTTAATAAATGCCTATGTTCATTATGTAAATAAACGTATTTTCAAAGGAAACTGTATATAGTTACTATAATAAGAAAAGCAACATCAGTTGTCATAAATAGAAGGAACCTTTAAAAATGAATAAAATGACAAGTAAACAATAATATTAATTTCTAGGTAGATACTGTTGTCTCCTAAAACTCAGGACCCAAGGCCAGCCCTTTCTTTGTTAAAACGGGTGTTAGTCAGGGTTAAAGCAAGGTTAAGGAATATTAGTAATAAACCAAGACTTTCTCTGTGATCGAATCAGAAGCACAAAAGGGAGTGTTTTCCCACAGCACAATTCACATTCCATCTGTACCACCCACAACTACCTCTCATGCCACCTGTGACCTGGGTCTTTATTCTCCGGAGCTGATCTGGATTTTTCAGTGTTCTCGTGCTGGAAGCAAGTGGCTTACCATTTGTCTGAGAAATGCCATCAGGGAGGTTCTCGGTGGTTTGCGTTCTTCTCTTCTGAGTTTTACTTCTGTGGCTTCTGGTGTAGCATCTCCTTCTTCGCTGAGATCCACTGTTTGTAAGGCTGAGTCTACTTCCTCGGACTTTGTAATCTCTACTGGTGATTCACACACCACCTGGATTATTTTGCCAGGTAATAATAAGACAGTGAAAAAAAAAAAAAACATTCCCCAAAACATGCTTTATAAAGTGGAGTCCTGATTCTTCCTTAGACCCCCTAGTAGCTGGAGGTTTGAATCTATGACTATTTCCACACGGGCGCATCTTCGAGAAGGAACATTTGTGTCATATGATGTGTTCTCAAACGGCCAGTTTCTGAACAACTGTCAAATAAATGGACTTGCACGTGACAAAATTTCTGTCCCATGAAGGTACAATGCTTAGACAGGAAGTCTCTTTTGGGGACTGCCCCTCAGAGTACACCCCAAACCCACTCCATTCTAGCAGGCCCACCTCTTTGGTCTGCCATAAAGGTGAATTACAGCTGGCCTGTGTTAAAAATCAGGAGTCATCATTCCCTCAAGATGCCAGCTTTAGAGATGGTGACCACGACACCTTCCAATCCATATCCTCGTTCCCCTGCAACTGTGGAGAAATTGTCCTCTGTGCTAAAAGGACGGGGGTGAAAGCCACTTGCTTTGGTAGACTCCGCTTCCCCTTTAACTCATTTCCCATTTCACACCCCCCTCCCTCCACCGGTCATTTGCTATTGCTGCTTAGCTGAAGTTTAGGCTTTCAGGAGAAAAATGAACTTGGGAAAAACAAAACAAAACAAAACTCTAGCTAAGTTGCTACGGCCCCCAGCAAGGTAACTAGTGATCTCAGAGTCCCCTGAATGTCTGTGGTGGGTAAGGAAGGCCAGCTGTGTGGGCGCGGATGTAAAATCTGATTCATCCGCATTTTGATTCCAAAACTTGTTCTTTTCCATTGCCTCCCTGCATCTGTGCTGTGTCCCCGTCACATCTGGGACAGTTTCTGCCTCTGCCTTGGTCTCTGCAAAAGGACGGAGTTAACTGGCCTGGGGAGGGTTTTATAATTTCCTTTTTGTTGCCTTCGGGCAGGGATTGGCAAACCGCAACCAAATCCATCCCCTAATCTGTTTAGGTATGGCCCAAGAGCTAAGAATGGATTTAACATATTTCGAGGGTTCTAAAAAAACGTTTTAAAAGATAAAACATGTCCAACAGAGACTGTATGTGGCCTGCAAAGTCTAAAACGTTGACTGCCTGGCATTGACATAACAAGCTTGCCATCCTCTGCCTCAGAGAAAAGCAGGCAAGAGCCAAAGGCAAGTCTGCATTTGTTTTTCCCGGTGCCAGACCCAACTTCTTCAGAAGTTCGTTCTCGGAGGCAACTTACTTATTTCCAAAAACACAGCATGCTCCGGAGAAGCCATTTGCCTTTCTTTCAAACAGCACATACCATTGGTTTGCAAATGAGCCCGATGATCCAAATTGAGAAGGACCCTTAATTTCTCTATTGTCCACTGAAGCAGGAAGGTGCCTGCTCATCAACTAATCAACCTGCAGCAAAGCCCCTCCCCACTCCAATAAGGCAATTCCATCTAAGCTGTCTCTCTCTCCCCACCTTCCCTTTCTTAAAATATTGACATGACTTCTAGCACTTTCCCTCTGCAAAGAACTGGGCTGGGGAGTTGCAAACGCAAAGCCCCCAGGAGGCAAGGCAGGGAACACCAGCATGAACTGACCAGCAATGAGACAAAAAGGGGCGATGGGGACTGTGGTGACAAAAGTCAAGTCGTCTCATCTAAAGACACTCAAAGAGTAGAAGAATGAGCCCAGCTTCTGCTGCTGGGCTGCGGGGCTGTGACACAGGCCTCTGTCTTTAGGGAACCAGGCTGGGACTGGAGCCAAATAAGAGACTGGGATTAGCCGTCCAGTGCAGATGGGTTTCCACATAGAGGCCTGATTTAATTCAATGGCATTTCTGAGAAAATAAGCTTCAGCCACCAGCACCCTGGGATAAGCCTGAACGGTGGGCAGTCCATAGAGTGACTATGACTGCGGCTTGTGGCACCAGCCCTGCCTGGGTCTCAATCTTGACTCTGACTCTAACAGGGACTCTAAATCAAGGTCCCCACTCAACATCTCTGTGCCTGGGCTTCCTCCTTTCTCAATGGGAACAGCACACACATCAGAACCAAACCAGGCAATGCACATGAAGTTCCTAGAACAGTGCCTGGCACACAATAAGCACTAAGCTGTCACCAGTGGTTGTTACTTGCGCTGTTATGAGAGCTCTTTACTTCACGGGCATGGATTATGTGGGATCATCCACCGTGCACACGTCCACTATTGAGAGATGACAAAAATAACTACCTCTTTCTATGCCTGACATTGTGCAAGGTATTTTTTTTTTTAAATATAGTACCTCAGTAAATAGTTTCCAAGACAGCTCAGGGTAGACACCGTTGTCCCTATCTACAGAGGAAGAATCTGAATGATTGAATGCTCGGCCAACATTACACTACAGGTAAGTAGCTGTTGCTGTGAGGTTGGAGTTGTCCACCAGTAACTGAATGGCTGATGGTGACTTAACCAATAGTGATTAATGTAGAATAAAAGGTTTGGAAGTAGGAAGTTCTGAGATGGGTTCGGTGGCTCTAAGAAGTCAGGCTCTTTCTATCCTTTGGCTCTGCCTTCCATGGCATGCTAGATTTTCATCCTTTTATTTGCTACCTCATATTTGCTGCTTTATATCCATAAGGATATAAAGTAGCTGCCACAGGTCCAGGCATCACATCCTCAAATCCATGTCTTAAGAAAGAAGGAAGGTCATAGCGAAAGATTTGCTCCAAATGAACTTTTGTATTTTGATCCTCTACCTCAGGGTACATTTCATTGGCCTAAAGTAGGTTACATTCTTACCTCTAGATTAATTACTGGCAAATAAAATGGGATTATTGGTTTAGACTGATCACGATCAAATACTTTGGGAGCGTATTAGTTGCCAATCTTACCTAAGATCAAGGGAAGAAAGGTGGAGAAATGAGACATAGCCCTTAGGTAGGTAATGAACGGAGTCTGAGTCAATGACTCTGGGCTTAGAATTATTCTGTCTTCAAAGCAGCAAGTTCTTTTGTGTGTGTGTAAGGGCCCGGAGGGAAAATTACTTACATAATAAAATGATCAGGTTATATGGTAATACCTTTGTAAATCAACTTTATTTGATTGCTACTGGTTCTCCTGCCAGGCCCTTCCAAATGTGGACAGGTGTCAACTCATAAATTCTAGGCCAGAGTCCACTCTTCAAAAAAGAAAAAATAAAGGACTCCCAGAGACTCCCATATACTCCTCTCCATGCAGTCAGGCTATGAAGTTGGCTTTCAGAAGCCAAGGAAAATGCATGGACTCCAGTGTGTAAACCCAGAGGAATTGAGCTAAGTTAGGAGCTGATTTGCATATACAGACATAAGAATTTGATTTTTATTTGGACAGTTTTCCAATTTCCTTCCAGGCTATAGCTTTGGAAAAAGTTGTTCCTTATTTAGAATACATGATTGCATCTGCACATTTTAATGGACATAATTAAAATCAGATTTGTGCTATAATTGAGAATTAAACCTCCCTTGCTTGATTTCAGTAGAGGATATTAGATGCTGCAGGAAGATACACATTTTGGCAAAATACATTTTCAGTTTTTGCCTCAAATATTATAACATACTTACTCTTGAAATTTGGTTGATACAGTTTTCACTAGAGCTGCGAGTTTGCCAGTTGACTTACAGTAAGATAGATTTCCTCCACTTAAACTTCACAAATGACATAATAATGATATTAAAAGTTTTTACTTGAGAATCATTTTTATATTTTATATTCTTTCTGATTTCACTTATAATATGGTTATTTACTTACAAAGACCTTACAGAGGTTTTATTTTTCTACTCCGTAACTCCTCTCTGCTGTTCTGTTCACAGTATCCCAGTTTTTCTTTGGGATAACAATTCTCCCTAATTTTCAGATTATGTATTTGGATGAAGCCAGTTGAGTGGGTATAAGCCAATTACCATGATCTAGCTCCTTGACCATATGGGTTTGGGGGTGGCAGTATGTGGTAGATTATATTATTTTCCTGATTATTCACTCTACCTTTCTGTAAAAGAATTAAACATCATGCCTACCACTGCGTGGCTTGCTTTGGCAAATGGAATGTGAGTAGACAGGATGGAAACTATGATCGAGTGAAAGTTTTTGGAGCCTTTGCGCTATTCACCTATGGCAGTATTTTCTCTCTGCCACTCCAACTGCACGTCCTTGTCAAAGATCTCAGTCTAGGTCTCAGCAGAAAGAGGCTATGAGGATCACCCATTGCCAACTTACAGTTGACATGCGGCACGAGTGAGGAAAAAAAGAATCTTTGCTGTTGAAAGGCAGTGAAACTTGGGGCTTGGTTGTTACTGCAGCATAACCTGGTGAAAGCTGACTAACAGAGCATGTGGCTCCACTGAGGCCAGTGAAAGAGAACAAATTCCAGGACATCTAGGGGGCTACTCAACAAATCTCTCCTTTATTCTGCACTGGGGAAAGTGATGCTGGAAAGCTGAACATATAGCCAAACCCGGGGGCCTGAATAAAGATTTATTTGAAAGAAATTCTACTTCCTAGTAATGATGGCCAATAAATATTATTTTCTTTTTAATCTAGGTTGAGTTGGGTTCTCTTTTGCTTGCAATTGAGAGGTTACTTACTAAGAGAGGTAAACAACAAAAGTACCTGTTTCCTAGACCTTATAGGTCATTAGGAGAGAATGCTTTTTTTTTTTTCATTAGTTAGAACATTAACTCAATTTACCAATAGACAAAACATTTTCAGATTTCAACTGAAGGATTTGATAACGTCTGTAGTCAAAAGAGGTAGATTTTGCTTCTGATGAGACCAGAAGCTCATTCTAGAAAGCACTAAACTCTCATGGGATTCAAAAGCCTTATTTTTCTTTTCACAAAAAAAACATGGAAAAATGCTGAAATCTCTCTGTCCTTTGCTGTGCATTGGTTGATAGATTGGTTATGGAAACCTGTGGTAGAAAAATCTAACAAAATAAACTCAACCATATTTCAGCCAGAAGTTGTTAGTTAACAAAATCTTATGATATGGTTAAAAACAGCTACTTGTCCTGTTTGGAAGGTTTTGACTGCTGCTGTCTCTCTTACCTGGGAGGGAGAAATCACCTGTTTCCCATATGCCTTCACTCCACCGAGTCAGCTGTGAGATGTGTAATTTCGCAAAGACCAATTATCACTGACAACTGGGAAGCCCTCGGCCATGTTGTTACAACTCCTGTGCACTAATGGGGACTGTAAGGGGCAGCAAATTTTTCCTGCCATTGGTCTTGTCATAACTACTTGACTCTGTCATCGTAGCCCTATGAACCTAGCCTTAGACGATATATAAAGGAATGAGTGTGGCTGTATTCTAATAAAACTTTATTCATAAACACTGAAATTTGAATTTGGTATAATTTTTATGTGTCATGGAATAGTATCTTTCTTTTGATTTTTAAAAACCATTTAAAAATGTGAAAACTATCCTTAGCTCTTGGGCCATACAAACATAGGTGATGGGCGGGAAATGTCTCATGAGCTGTCATTTGCCAACTCCCAAATTCCTGTCTTCTTCCTATGCTTCATGAGCTGAAGTACGGACATTACATGTATTAGTTCTTTAATTCTCACAAGAAACCCAAGGGATAGGTAAAATTATTATGGCCACTTAAGAGATGAGTACACTGGGGTCCAAGAGGTCACACAGCCTGGGGATGATGGGGCCAAGGCCACAACTTTTTATTTAGCCTCATTCCCTCCAACTAATAGGCTGGCAGAGGATGAAATGAAGAAGCTTAAAAATAAAAACGTGATTCGTAGGGCTAAGCAATTTCAATCAATTTTTATAATGCTTCTTTATTTTCCTGAGGAAATATTTGCTTTTTTTCATATCTCTATCAGCTTTTGCAGACTCATGGAGTCAGCTCTCTGGCCCGAGAATGGCATTCTCGGCATGTATTGCAGCAAGATGCTCCCAGGCCTGATGCAACTACCTGTCCTGGGTACCACCCGCAGTTAGTAGAGAATCTGGGTTGTCATGGAAATAAAGGTGAAAGAAGCAATCAATGTAGAATGAAGGAGGAGTGCAGCATCCTTGTCCCTTAAAGAAATACAGAGATGTTCTTATGTTTAGTAGACTCTTTCAGCCTCTCAATGAAAACAGATTATTAAAGTGTGTGCTGCGATTTTGCGTTTTGTTTGCCCTGATTCAACGGGCATCACAAACGTTCATCCAAAGTTATTCCCCAGTGGTCCCTAATCATGCATAAGGGTGAAAGAGTCTACAGCAGGTGAATAACACCCGGAGCATGCAAGAACACAGGACTCCAGAGCGGAGATGCCCAGGGGTCCGACATGCAGAAGACGAGAATGGATTCTGTCATTTAATGTGTAACTTACATTCTCCTCTGCACCTGTGGGGACTGAATCCTCTTTAACTGACTAAAGGGAAAATAAAAACAAAAGTGAGAGTCAGAATGTTACAAATCCTAGAGCCAACAGCCTTCTCGTGCAATCCTTGGATATTGCTTGTGTACCTTTTCCCAAAAAGAACCTGAAGGAGGCTTACAGAAAGGTAAACAGCACAGCAAGATAATATAAATTATGCAGTTTAAAATGCAACGAAGGGAAAATTACCATACAGATGCAGCCAGGATGGAAATGGAGGGGTTACTATAGAAAACACGAACCAGTCTTGGCCGTAAGCAACATATTTTACCTAGACGTTTTCAGGAAACTGATAACAAGAGGGAAGTATGATCGATCATGCAGTACACAAGCACTGTGAGGTAAAAACAAAGGAGCTGCTTAGGAACATTCTGGTAGCAGGTCTGGAGAAATTCATCCCATGGTCCTGATGAAGCAAGCAGGCGTCATGTGATCGGCAGGGTCCATCACCTTCTCCTGACTGTGGCGCGGTAGCTGGCGTCAGAAGCTGCTCTCTCTAGGGACCGATTTCATCGTGTTAAAGTTCAGTTCGGTTCAAATGCTTCTACGGAGGGCCAGAGGGCTGGGGTCCAACATGTCCCACTTCAAACACTGTTACAGTCCCGCCCCAAATGGGAGAGGAGTTACCCAGTTCTATCAAAAGTCAGTGCCGCAGCCACCATCATCGGTTTGTCAAGAGCCAACTCTGGAGCTCATCTTTGCATGTTGAGGTCCTTCTTAAACTTTTTTTGGGGTGGTGGTGGTGGTGGTGTTTACAGACCCCTTTGAGAGACTCACTTGACAGATCTGGACTGTCTTCCCAGGAAAATAAACATGAACAAAATACTTCACGGATTTCAGGGCGTTCACAGATGCTCGCAACTCCTCTTGGACTCTACTAAAAACTCTTCCCTATAGCCAGTTTGTTCATGTCCTGCCTTCGTTTTTACCTTTGAAACATCCACTGGGATGGGAGAGGGGAAGAAGGGAACTTATTTACAAACACGTCTTCTGCACCTGGCACAATGTGGACATCATCACACTTAGGTAGCCCCAGACGAGAAGTACGGTGACCTCCACTTGCTCAGCAAGAAATGGAGGTGCAGAGAGGTGAAGCCACCTGTTCAAGGTGCTACAACTAGAAAGAGGTGGAGATGGTTCTCAGAGCTAAGTTTTGCCCCTGCCATGATGACTTCGAGGATCATAAACACATTTTTATTTTTGGTGACTGTGTGAACTTCCTTCTCCACTATTAGACTTGCTGTCTCTCGAGACGAGGTCTCCAACATGGATGGTTTATTTTTATTTACCTTCTTATCAAAGTGAAGCTCACCTGGGCACAAACATATCCCTGAAAAGGATTGTGAGTTTTCTGGAAGCTTCGGATTGTCAAGAAATCCTAGAGCATTCAGAAGGGATGATAGCTCTTCTCCCTGAGACCAGCTGCAGGCTATTTAATGTTATGAATAGGTAAAGAATTAAACACTATTTTAAAAAGCCAGACCTCCTCCAACCTGACCCACGAAAGTTTCAAGGGTCAATTTACTGTCTACATTAGGCTGATGAAACCCTGCCACGATTTAATAATAGCAATTTTAGTTTTTCAAAGCCTCTTGCCTGTCCCACTTGGTCGTAATGAGATTAGACTGTGTCTTTAGTTTCCTGTGTCTGGAAAGTTCTTGGCCATGGATGGATTGCTCACTGTTTTTCAGAGGAAAATGGGAACTTGATCTGATGGCAAGGAGCAGAAAGAGGGAGATCGATGTTTCTGCATCTTCGCTGTGGTTTTAAACTTCCAGAGCTTTCCGACGTTTTAAAAATTGGCATGCTACATATCGTCTGTTCCAAGAGAAATTGCAGTTTCGTATTTTAAAGTTAACCTACTCGGCAAAACATTCCTTATTCGGGGAATTAGTCCGATTGAGCATTTCTCAAACTTCTACAATTTGAACACCTCTTTTGCAATTCTTTTTTTTTTTAATTTTTTAAAATTTATTTTTATTTTCACAATTCTTGACCTGTCCACGGACCACCTACCTGTATTTATGTGAAATCTTTCTTTAAATTGACCACTTTTTTACTTAAGTGGATATATTTTAAAAGAAAGCATCTTGTCATTATAATGAATGTAATATCAACACCCTTGCTATAAATAGATGCGTTAAAACAGCTGTAATGAGTAAAACGAAAATGCCCATTAAATCCGAATTATTTTCAGTCTTTATTAAAAGGGTCAGCAAGTATTAGCACAGTGAGAAATGCCCATTACTATCAGAAAGAGACTTTCTTCTTAATGTCACCAGAGGAATTGGAATAGAATGGGAAAGGAGATAATTTTATACTATGTGACCGATTGCATTTTTAGGGCTGTGTTCGAGAACCATGCAAAATTGTTTTGCACAGTTTTGTACATTTGCACACTGGCCTATGGGTATAGCCTTTATGTCAGCAGTGGCTGAAAAACCAGCTGGTCTAAGGACCCAAAAATGGATAACGAGAGGCCAGTCTCCTGTCCCCGTTAGTGTTTGGCACGTATAAGAGAAAACCTTGCGTCAGAATGCAAGTCCAGAGCATCTTGGACGGTGGGTTAGTTAGTGGATATATCAGACTGTTCTACTGTTTCTGTTTTTTAAAATTTTTACAAGAATGATTTTATAACTGATACTTATTCTAATTTAAAAAAAAAAGGTTTCCTTTTTGTTTGCTACCAGAACGTAAGTTCCCCCATGAGATTTTGAGCTGCAAGAGGTCACTGCTGTCCTTTCAATGCCTAGTACTTAACACAAAGTATTTAGCACTAAAAAAATATCAGTACAAAGAAAGCGATTTAAAAATAGTATCAAATACGTGAATTTTTTCCATTTTACTTCCATATAGACCTGTTCTTTCTGATTGGGTGAAAGAAAAACAAGATTTACAAGTGATTGGGTTTTAAAATTCTCTTAGCTACATTGTTTTTATATTCTACTAAAGAAATAAAGCTGGATAACAGTAAAAAACAAAACAAAACAAAACAAAACAGCGAAACAGAAATAAACGAAATGCTGTCATTGGAGAGAGAAATGCCAATGGGTGGTCCCACCCTTTCTTTTCAATGGGAACAGCTTGAATTTCAAAGAAGAACCAACATAACCCTGACAAGATCCAAAAAAGATGAAGTAGTGGAGGCTTTAGTAGCCTAGGAGCTTCCCCACGCTGGGTGTTGCAGAAGGAGAGAGAAGCAGGCTTGGCCAGTGCCTCACTCCTCCTGAGCGCCCAGGAAATAAACCACGCAGGTGCCAGCACCTGCTCGCCGTCCGTTTTTGCACTAGGCACGGTGTGAGGGGTTGACCGGCATTGTTTCATTTCGCCCTTACTTCATCTCCACGACGTAGGTCCTGTTACTATTTGCATTTTACACATTGGGAAACTGAGGCACATCAAGGAGAACTGGGACTCCAAGGCAGGTCTGACGCCCAACTGTTAACCCTTATGTAAGGGTTCCTCAAACTGCAGTCATTGGCCGACCTCCTACAGGAGTTTTGCCATATCGTGTGCACCCTCTGTGGCCACCGTGGCAGTGTGCCACTCAGACTTCCCTGCAACGACAGTCCCTGACTGTCACGCCTCCGGCATCCACCGCAGTGTGGATGCTGAGGGTGTGCTCTTCCTGGCTGCTGCGAGATAATGGCTGAGCGCTAGGCCATTTCTGCCCAAAGTAGGTCTCCGCTTCCCCAGCGCTTGATCCCACCCTCTGACCCTCTCCTCCCTCCCTCCCCCTCCCCTCTCTCAGGTGTCAGACCCTCCCTGTGGTGGGCGGGCTCTCTCTCCCCATCCCTGCCAGCTCCCCGTTTCCTTCACACTCATTTTCCTCCAATAAACCTCTTGCACATCATTTCCCTCTTGGCGTCTGCTTCTTGGATGACCCAAATTTATCATTATTTACTTAATATCAGTACCATTATTGATGTAACACTTTCCTTTTAATCGGATTATTTTTCAAACTAAATGCATGTAGTCTCACCTTGAGCAAAATATATGTTAAACTGAATTTAATGTGCCAGTTCTATTTTTCCTAATACACTTTTTAAAAATTTATATACTTGATGATTTAAATAAAGATGTTTGAATGTGAGTCACCTAACTCATCTCCATGGTCATCTAACTCATTTCCATGGTCACCTAACTCATCATCTCCATAGTCACCCACATACGAATGTCACTCACTTGACAGTGAACTGTTTTATACATTATGTCGCCGGTAAAAGATTTTTAAAGATGAGTAAACGGTGGTTGGTGAGAAAAGAGAATTCAAACAGAAAGTCAAATGACATCATCCAAAGTTTTCATTAAGTATTGGAGTTTGTGCTCTGGGTAGAATCCAGAAGAAAGATCTTCATACAACAAGAAACACACAGGAAAGAGTTTCAGAAATCCAGCTGGATTCTGGACACGAGAATAAACTCAAACAACACAGTGGCAACAGTGTTTATCACCTGCCTGGCTTTGTGTGCCAACTGGCATGGATTTTTATGAAATTTCTAAATTGGATTTTTCCAGCTCTATAAAATGACCCTGTGCTGCCTCACCCCTGACTCCTTGTTCATTTTTTGGCCACATTTAATACAGGCGAGAGTTTTGAACATGGGTGGCAGCTGGGGTTTACTCAGCAATGATGACCAAGGAATGGCTCTCAGAATCACTCGGCCCCACCCAAACCATTTCCTCGCACCCCACCTTAATTCTAGAGGGGAAGAAATCAGTCGGTGGTTTGAATTTTCCTACTGCAGATTGCGTTATGTGCTTGCCCCGGTGCTGAACTGGTGGACACCTCGGTTTTCCAAAAGGAGAGTGAAATTTAGTGGCTCTAGTGACTGATCAGATCTGGCTGGGGAAACAGAGATAGTCTGGTGGTGGTTCATCACTCCAGGGTGAGGGCGCTCAAAGGAAACTGGGAGGAATAAATACTAAATGATTTAGGAAAGAAAATGAGATCGTGAAATGCCACAGGGCTCTGTCATGAACCGGAGCAATTCCAAGAATGAGAAATTCTAGTTGTTCATTTCCTTTTCTTTCCCATGAAACACGTGTTTGTAACATGTCAGGCATTTCGTTCTTCCCAGGAGTAAATTAGAAGCCTTCAACTCAATAGTGGGTTGAGTCATTTTGGAGAAGGAAAAAGAAAACAACTCTACGCATTGTTTTGTACATCAGTTGGCCTCATAGAAATAATTTAAGTCATCTAACCCTCCATCCTCTCCACATCTTGAAAATAGGACTTACCTTTTTCCAGAATAGTTTGCTCAGAGGCAGAGAGGTGGGTCCTCCCTTTTCCTTGGCTCCTTCCTTCGCTGTTTCTGTGACTGTAGGATTCTTGGCTGCCCCTTGGGTCTCCTGGGGTACGAAGTTGGCTTTGTCTGACTTGAGGTCTGTTGAAGTGACAGGTGACTTTTCAGCACCCTACAGAGTTAAACAAACTCAAAATGATCTCTGGATTTCAAAAGTGAAAGATCTCTTATTTTTTTAAAAATATATACACATGGGCTGGGGTTATGCATGCTAATTTTCTTCTTCATAATTTTCTGTACTTTCCAAATATTCTACTATGAATATAGATTTGTGTTAAAATCTTGGAAAACATCGAGATATTTTTCCTCTTGGAAAAAAAAGATCTATAGAACCATGACTTATATTTATGTAAGGAACTCATTAGGAATCAAGGTGATCATAAGAGGTACTTTGCTGTTAGAATGTTAATTCATACTAAGGTCATTAGTCTTCCATGATTTTGGTCATGTTCTCATCGGTAAAACATCTTGAATACGAATCTCCAATATATGTGTATTTGCTTCTATTATAAAGACGTATTGTTTTACTACTCCAAATTCAAAATTAAACAAGGGTTAAAATAAATATAAGTTAAAATAGAGTTTTCACATTTTCTTCCCACACTCTACCTTGGCGATCACTCACCTAGGCTATAAAGCTAGACTGGAGCTCAGCGAAGGGATATCGAGTCAGAAGAGTCACTACAAACCCCATCCTTTGCTTTTAGAAGCAGCCTCTCTGTGTGACTTAGATGTAATTGGTAGATTGCGCTTGACCTAAAACTTCGGATGTTATGCATTCGGCCCCATAT